ATCTGAACTGTCCTACGGGGTCACTGGGAGTCGGCATAGACCCAATGTCAGTGAGTTTCTGAAAACACAAAGACAGGAAGCATGTCTGGCGTGCCTTCTATTCCCCCAGCCTCTAGGGGCAGCACCTGACACACAGTGGTTTCTCAATTCATGTGGGAATAGCGATCCCATACCTCATGAGGAAAGCAGTCCTGGTGGCATGGCAGTTAGAGCGCCTGGCTGCTGACCGGAAGGTCAGACGGTTGGAACCCACCAGCAGCTCCTTAGGAGAAAGTGGTGACAGTCTGCTTCCGGAGGACTGTGACCTTGGAAAGCCTATGGAGCAGTTCTACTCTGGGATGTGATGCGTCACAATCTACTGCATGGAGAGCAAAGGACATGGGTGTGTGGCCAATGAGTAGCCCCCGCATGCCTCCCTAAGAGAAGGATACACACTGTCAAGTGGGCCTCCAAAGTATTTCTTCCCTTGAGCTTCCTACAGTCATTCAGAGACCTCGCTCCCACCTGCTGTGTGCCTGTGTGCTGTGTTCTCCTTCCAGTGAAGACAACTGTCAAATTAGTCACGCCTCCTCAAAATCGACTCCAAGGTTTCTGGCACGTTTCTCTATTTTCACCCTAGTCCTCTTCCTCTGCTGCCCCAAAGCCAGCTCTCCTTTAAGTGCATTGAAACATTTTCTGTTGTTGCACTTTATTTGTCAAAAAACCAACCAACCAAACTCACTGCCACCAAGGCGATTCTATCCACAGCAACCCGATAGGACAGAGTGGACTACCCCTGTGACTTCCAAAGCTATAGATTTTTATTGGAGCAGAACACTCCTCTTTCTCTTGCACAGTGGCTGATGGGTGGGTTTGAACTGCTGACCTTGTGACCAGCAGCCCAACACGTAGCTTGGTATATTTGATTGTTTTTAGTAAACACAGGAGAGCACTTCTTTTATTCAAATATAGAATCCTCATGCAATATCTTCTAAGTTTTCCAAGGACCCTTTCAAGGAGTTGATGAAATTCTTTTCTGTTCCTGAACTAGTGGGATTTCACACAGGCACTGTGATGGCTAGCCCAGACAGGGTGGTGGCCCTTAACTATGCGGTGCCTCGGCTGCATCGCCTTGGTGAATTAACAACTCACCAGTTGTCTGATGCTCCCGTTCTTGAGTGATAACCAGAGAGCCGTCAAAAACTTTCCTATTCTCATACTTAGGGTCAAATTCACCTAAGAGTATTTACTTAAAGAATTCAGTGTGATTCTACCCAGGCTTAGAGTCAACAAATAGTTATTAAGCTCTTCTCAAAGAGAGACTCTGGCAACTTTGTCCACAGGATAATGCAAGGTCACTTTTCAAGTCCATGCTTCATTTAAAAAGAGCCAAGTGTTATCTGTAAATGTGTTTTGTTTCTTTTCATTTTTTTGTTCCTGAAAATGATTTTATAAGCCAGCCCATTATCCTTAATTGAAATGTCCATCTCACTTACCACCTACATGTCAGATGATGATGATATCGATTAGGCGGGAGAGGGGCTGCACGAGGAAGTCGGGAGTTTGTGGGATTTTCTGGCTAAGGAAGGAGGAGTGCTGTGGAGCTGGGATATATGTTTGTGTAGATGCTGTGGAGGAAAGAAGTCCCAAGCAGGTGTCTTGGGAGAAGGTAGGAAGTAGACCTCATAAGAAACAAGTGATCTCAGAAACCATAAGTTTCTGAGAGGGCATGAATGGCCCATGCAATGTGATCAATTAATCGATTTGACAATGTGGTGACCTTTTCTTTTCAGGATCCATTGTGTATTTCTTGGTGCAGGGATTTCACCCATAACCAGGGGTAACTAGCAGAGTGCCTGTGCCTCATGAAACCATTCTTCTTGTGTTGGCAGCAACATGATGCTGGGGCACAAGGTGTCCGCCCTGCTTTCCACCATTGCTGCAAGTTCTAACTGGTCACCGAAGCAGCAGAGCCGCTCTTCACTGACAGAGTTCATGCAGCTGTGACTTCGCTTACGGAGATGAGCAGGCTGCTGCATATACACATGATGTTCGCCATCGTGAATCGTTTTTATCATTAGAGGAGCTGACTGTTGCAAAGAAACTTACCCCTGTCTCATTTCTAATGTCAGAAGTCATTGTGATTTTCAAGAAAAGCATCTGTCTCTAATGTATTAGCTTGAGTTTCATTTTATCTGAAATGCTTAATTAAAGCAAGATAAAACTATCTGTTATAACCTTCTGCTGTCTGAGTTTGGGCAGAAATGGCAATGTTTTAACTGTATTACTAGAAAGTAGCTTAATGTTTCAAATCAATATCCATTTGTCCATATCCAATTGATTGGCAACATAATTAGGGGCACAGGTCACTATGATCCATATATCCCAACATTTTTTTAATTAGTTTATTTATAACATAGTAGGGACTACATCGGATATTTTTCTCAAGTGGAAAATGAGGCAAAAGGTAATATTTCTCTATGATTCCTAATGAGAACCTCAAAATCACCTGTCTTTTGGAGGATTCAATTTCTTACGACATCTGTGATAGTGCCCATGAGGATACCAACGGTGCTTCGTAGTAAAGAACATTTTGCTAAGTTGTTCTATCATCGGTCCTTGTTGTTTAAGGGGCTCATCTTTCACTTCTAATCTAGTTTTCAGCACATGATCATGTGTTTCTTCACTGTTATGTAGAGGATCTGGCCGAGGAACAGGTGTTGTATGTTCATATGGAATGTCCACAGAAGGGCGGTAGCATACTATTGTCCTGCCATCTGATGTCAAAGCAAGCTCTACCTTGCAATGACAGTCATCTGGGAGAGGCAGTGTCGATTTATGACAAACACTGTATAAAACTCCATTTCACATTGATAAGAAATGTTTCAGGACAGTTCTGTTTGATAGTGCCCATGTTACTCCTGCTACTGCCATGGTGGACCAAGATGCCTGTATCAGACGGTATGGCAAAAGATGTTATGCAGAGAAACTGTTTGAAACATCTGCTTCCAGGCACATCTATTTTCATTCCTGCTTGACGGGTCCTCACGGCGAAACCGCCATGTTGTCCCCAACATTTTTTTAAGAAAGAAAATATTCACACGGTATAGGGAATCACAATCTGTTTTTATATCCCTAGAGTTATAAACATTTGTATCAAAATATTTACAATTATGGTATATGAAATATCATTTCATTAAAGAAGAAGCCAAATACAGTACTAGAACAACCCACAGATGCAATGCGAATTACAAGAGCCGTAAATGTCACAGAAAAATACTAAAAGAGAAGGGAATACATGCTTCACTCCAGGCATAATTGGACTCCTTAAATGAGTATCTCGTTTAGATATAACTGGTATGTAAGTATGCTTCTGCACTTAAGCTAGCCCTCTATAATTGTCTGATAATTAAATCATAATGTAAATGTTCACCATCCCACATTATTGCTGGACAATTTCTCCACCCCTCACCCAGGTAATTCCATGACTTACTCCCAACATTCCCACAACCAGACGAACCTGGAGAAATAGACCCAATAAGAGTCCTCTTCCGGAAATACCAGCAACCGTGGTACAATGACTCTCCCGGAAGGATAACTACAGAGAAGCAGGATGAGGAGATAGCGAGAAGGAGGAAAGTGGGCAAGAAGGTTCCGATTCTCCCTGGGTAGATCTTCTTCAGGTGGTAAAGACAATCTCTTTCCAAAAGAAACCCCAGGGGACAGAATCCCAGATGGCTTAAAGCTAGCTGCTCCAAAGACCAGCAGTGCCTGCTGAACCAGGAACAACCCACCACTTACTGCTAAGTCGTCCACAGAAATCCTCCTGTGGCATCGGAGGAGCTCAGGCATCCCCTGACTGGATCCCCCAAGAGTTTTCACTTCTTATTTAAAAGAAACTATCTGCCTTTCACCTACATTTGTACTTATCACATGAGAATGTTCTTATTTTCCTGGGAGTGCAGGCACTCGGTTCTTACCATGACTGCAACAGAGTCGGCTTAATACTTTACTTTTACATAGCACCTTCCGCCCAAGGGCCCATTGCTCGCTTTTGGTTTGTGTGTGAACCTCAGATTCTAGAATTGTGTGCCTCTCCCGTGAAGGGGACTGGCATGAGCTCTGAGAGGGGACTGCTCCAGCCAGTGTCAAAGCTGGAGCCACCATTGACCCCGCGGGGTCAGGAAAGGGTGTCATTCAGAGGGAGGTGAGTAAGATTGTGTCACAAGCAGCTACGCCCATCGTTCTCTTTCGGTATCTCCTTGAAAGAACTATTGGCTGCAAGGAGGGGGATCTTAAACACACGACCCTAACTAACGTAGCCTCTTGACCTCGGGGCTTGTGCGGTGTTTCCACCACCAAATTTGTCATTAATGGCTTGGCAGAAACTGCCAAAGAGCTAGCTGCCTTGGCTTTAAGGGAGAGGTCAGCCAGTCTCTGCCTGGCCAGAGGCCTCCATGAGGGACGGCAGGGTGCGTGAAGGCTGGTCTGGGCCCAGACCGGCCCCGGCCTTCCATCATGAGACGTTCTCGCTCCCGGTCCAGCCAACCCACCCACGTGGCCTTCTAGCCATCGCTTGCTTTCTCCTGCTTCATCACAGATGCCAACAGATTCCACAGAGCTAAATCTCCGTTCTCAAGAAGGAAAACGGCTCTGTGACCAAGGCCCAGTCTGGGGACTTCAGAAGGGTGGGAAGACTTCCAGGCTCCACATAGTCATCACAAAAAGAAACCCAAAAAAACAAAACCAATGGCTGCCCTTGCCAAAACCTTCCCCACTGTTTTAACTTGGTGGAGTAGGTCTGGGGCCCTCAGTGCAACCCAGAATGCACCCTCATCGGCGTTCTGTCTAACTGAGACTGGAGGCCACCAGACAGGAGGCCAAGTGTGCCCACATCAAGGGAGCCAACTTCTTTCCCCAAGCGTTGGGGCTTAATGGTTGAGGATCTTCTCAGTAATCCTTGGGGTTTGATCTCTCCCACCCTGACAACCCCCCTCCCCAGCCCACCCCCCCTTCTTGGTTTTGCCAGCCCAGCCAGGTCCACTTCCCTCCCGGATTCCACTTCTTCCTCCTCCCCACCCCCCAATCCCCAGACACGTGGGTCAGCCTTATTTCTTTCTCAGGACCAGATAGAGGATGCCGATGACGAAGCTGAAGCAGAAGCAGATCCAGGTGAGAATGAAGCAATAGCCGTGGTGACTCGACTGGTAATTGTTCATGTGTCCATTTGCATAGTGACTGGTGTAGACGGACACCCCAACCAGAATGCACAGCCCTGCGGGAGAGGAGGCAGGAAGAGTGGACGTTAAAAATCGCTGGTGTTGGAGGAGAGGGGTGGCGGTACCAGGAGGACGTTCTGATAGTTTTCCTAAGATCCCATTTCCCTCGCTGGTGATGGGAAACGACACCCAGCTGTGTGGCCCCAAAAGCATTCCTGTCAGCTTTCCCTGGACTAAGCCCAGTGGGTGGCTTTGATGAATGGACAGCGTTGAAGGCGTTGGCACTGGTGTGTGTTGGTGTGGCTGCAAGTGTGAAGGCAAACGCAGAGCCCCGCTCGGCCTCTTTGGACAGGCTTCAGCACGCGGCCAACCAGGGCCGCTCAGGAAGGGCGCAGCCAGAGACCTTCCGCCCCACGGCTTGTCTTTGGGGAGCGTGATGGCAGAAAGACCACCACCCTACGTGTGCCCACCCAGGCAGGAGCTTCACCTTTCAGAGGACTCCCGCCCCCACTGCCACCCCCACATCCTCTAAGAGGTGTCCCTGCGGGGTGGCTCACTGTTGGTGACACTGACGCCAAGAAGGGGTCATAATTCCGAGGTTCTCCAAGAAAGAGAACGGAATAGCAGAGGGGGGGAGTCCACAAGGCATTTTCCCTGAGCTGTGTGCTAGTCCAGAGACATCCGCTCTACGTCTTGCATTTCTCCTATCAGGGGGCAGTCTGTGGATGGCACCAGCATTTACGAGCCCAAAGGTTGGCGGTTCACACCCTGGGAGACTGACTGGTGACCGCTTAACCAAAGTCCTCTCGGCGCCCTGTCGTCGGTGAGATACTCACAGCACACCAGCATGGTGGCCCCTGAGAGGAAGAAGCGGTTGCCCTTCTCCATGGTGAACAGCTGGAAGACGAAGACCACCAGTGAGATGACCGAGAAGATGATGGACAGGATCATGAAGGCTTGCACGGATTTGAGGGCATCTGTGGACACGGAGAAGGCAGCGCGGCGTTAGAGCCACCAGTGGCCCACAGGCTGGGCGTTTCCCTGACCCTGTGAACGTCCCTGCGGGTCCCAGTACGCACCTTCACCAGCATACCCCAAGGCATCATCGCAACTGCCGGCCGTGCAGTTTCTCCAGAGTCCCACTGATGTTTTGGGCAAAACATCTGAGACCACCCAGACCTGACACCAGAAGGGAACAACAAGAGGGAGGAGGTTACTGAAAAGCTGAGCCCTCTGCTTCAAAAAGAAAACAAATGTCCTTTGGGGAGCCACAGACTTCCAAGCAGCCTCGTCTCTCTGTGAAAATAGATTCTGAAGAATGTACAGCCAGGGATGGCTAGTGGGGATAGGGAGGATTTCACCTCTTTGGGCTCACATTTCTCATCATTTAAAGATAAGGTTTGCAGTGGCGGGGGTGTTGTTGTTGTTGTTTTTAAGTGTAAGGGGTTTGGTCATCAGAGTTTACATCTTTAAGGTCAAAGAACAGAAATCCTGGATAAGGACATCGGTATTAGGTGGGCCTGATTTATACACTATATTAAGACTGTCTCCTATAAGGGCCTGGCTGAAAGGGGGTGAGGGAGAGGAGGAATAATGCCCAAGAGGAGACAACGTATAAAAGAAGAGAACGTAGCAATGTGTCTGAAGGTCCCCAAAGCCACCTTTTTCTAAAGAGAAGGCTCAAACATTGACTGTCACACTGCATGACAGCAGTCAGGGCAGAGCCAATATGAGCTGCCTCGGGCTCACCGTGGTACTAGCTTCTCTTCCCACCTGACCCCCCAAAGAACTATTATCCTTCTGGAGTGGGAAAAGTAGGTGGGGTCGTCGTCCACACACGGCAGCTGCTACAAAACACACTACTGGACAAACAAGCAGGCCTACAGCGCGCTGGCTCCAGTGGTTCAGGCCGTGCATGATGCCGTGCTCAGCCCTGGGCGGCCAGACTATAGGCTGCCATCCAGTTGATGCCAACTGATGGGGCCCTCGAGTACACCCGAGTAGCACTGTGCGCTCTGGGGTTGTCCATGGGTGTGATTTGCGGGCACTAGATCATTGCCAGGCCTTTGTTCCAAGTCACCTCTGAGTGTTAGCCTTTCAGGGAGTGGCTGAGCATGTAATCCTTTTCACCACCTGAGCAGGCAAGCCTATATTCAGGGCTGCTTTTTCAAAACTGACTCAGCAGAATCTAATAGAACAATTCACACGTGTGGTGCTTCGGTGTCCGTCTCTACCGTTTAAAGCTGTTGATCCGATTGTCTGTCCTTAAGAAGCCCGGAAGCCGATGGAATGGCTAGCTCACAGTCCGGAGGAGGCTGTGGGCGGGGCTTGGGGACACAAAGGTGTTGCCCCAGTATGAAGCATATCACAGCTGTGCTCCAATGAGCCTTGCTTAGAATTAACTCCCACAATGCTTTCAAAGTTCTCCGCTCAGGACGCTACCATCCCTTGTCCTGTCATTGTAGCAGGGACCTAGCTAGATTCCAGAACCATCGTTTGCCTGTCTAGTGATGGGTGGCTTTGGTTTGTATGTCCCAGAAGCTGTCTGAGTGGTTTGTTGTTGGGGGTTGTTTGCTTGTTTCCTGAGGCAAGCACACTTTAATCTACCACTAGAGGTCAGAGTTGCCCAAGGTTCTGAGAAAAATCACCGCTGCTTCCCAAGTCTTTTTGTGTTGTGTTGCTTCAATCTGGTTAGCTCAGTGAAATTGGGTTGATCTTGCAAAAGCCACTTCCACATGCTCCTCTCCCTCCGACGCATCCCTGTGACGGAGCTTCCCGAAGGAAGGGAAGTCTGTCCCCAGCACGCGGGTGTCCTCCTTCACATGTCTTTCTACCTCTATAGCTGAGCTCTGACTTCTGCCGGGCCTGCACCCCACTCTGCCTCCACTGCCCTTTTTGACCCACAGGGACCCCACTCTTCTGCCAGGTCTCCAAGCTTCACCTTGACCTCAAGCTCCACCTCCTCCCTCTCGTCCACGTCGACGACCGCTCCTGTGAACATGACTGCTCTCTTTGGTACCTACTTCTGTTGAGTGTGTCCTGTACTCTATTTCCTCTCACAAAAGGCTGGGACAGTGGTTTAAACCTCTTTCGCAGCACTTTGTGTACATCGGGATTTTATGTAACTTCGGGTCAGTAATTGCTGAATGAACCCACAGGAGCGCGCTACTCACGTTGGCAATGGTGCAAACAAATAGCATAATAACAGTGGCGATGTGGACCACAAAGATGCCAGCCAGTAACACCAACATTTTGGCTTTTTGATACCACTGCAGGCCTTCGAGTGGAGTGAGTTCTGAAAAGGAAGGAGAAAACAAACAGGAGAGAAAGGGTTATTGTCAGATCCAATAATACAATTCCTCCTGCCCACAAGCATCCCTCTTGGTCACAACAGGAAGAGTGGCAATAAAAGCCATCACACTTTCCTCACAAAGTCCCGAAAATTCCTCTGTAATTGAGGTTCCTAAGTGCCCTGATGTTTATTCACCTATGTATGTCCATGTAAATATAGTGTTCTTTCTTCTCCAGCACATGGGTAATTATTTCTCTAATACAACCGATCTCGAAAACAAAAAAGGACACTTTATGACAATTGTTAATATTTTATTTTGTTTGTGTTTTCAGGGCCAAAGGAGGGCTTTGATTTTTAACAGGCTTTCTCACAGCTGTAATTTCCAAGTCTCTATGCAGCCATGTCATATAAATTTCCCTTATCCACCATTTCTAGCAAACTGCTCCCCCAGCAATTTTAATAGTAGGGAAAGCCTTCCACAAAAGAGCAGCTTGTAATCCACGCCCAGATGTGGAATCTGATGCCGAGTGTGACATCAGATGGGATCGCCATGACTCTCACTACTATAATGCTGTTTGATATTCAATCATTGTTGTTTCTGGCTTGAATCGAGTTAGCCCCAACTCCTAGCAAGCCTATGTGCGACAGCAGGAAGCACCGTGCGGTCCTGCAGCATCCTCGGTCCGCTGTGTGGAAGCCAGCCACTGCAGCCACGGTGTCAGTCCCCTCACTGAGGGTCCTTCTCTTTTCTGCTGACATGGCTACCAAGGAGGAGCGCCTTCTCCGGGGACTGGCCTCTGCTGACAGCCGGGTGCAAGTGCATGTGAAGCAGCACTTTGGACTTGGCGTTTAGAAGCCTCTGGCTGTGCTTCTTCCCATCCAGACCGGTTCGTTCTCTGGCCGTGTGTGGTGTCTGTTCGGTCGGCCTCACCACACCATCATGAGAAGCATCGGTCCTGCCTTGGCTTTCCTTACTCACTGCCGAGCTTCCGCACGGCTCTCACAGCAGGAAAAATGCCATGGTTTGGGTCCGGTGCACTTTAGCCCTCCACGTGACATCTCTGATTTTTTAACACATTAAAAAGATCTTGTGCAGCAGATTCTCCCCAATGTGATTTGCATGCTGAAACACTCTTTCTGTAGCAGACATGAATCAGAACGGAATCCCCAAGCATATACGGCGTTTGATTTCTTGACAATGCTTCTACAGGTGTTCATTGCGGATCCAAGTACAATAAAATCTTTGGCAACTTAAATATTTTTTGTTTATCATGATGTTGCTTATTGGTCCAGTTGTGAGAATTTTTGTTTTCTTTATGTTGAAGTGTAAACTATACCCAAGGCTGACTGACATCTTTGATCTTCATCAATAAGTCATTCAAATAATCTTCAGAACAAGCAAGGCAGTGTGGTCAACGCATAACAAGTTATGAATGACTCTTCTTGCAATCTCTGCTCAGGGTACAGATGGAATAAGTACAGGGAAAGGGTGCCATCCTTACACATGCTTTCCTGGTTTGAAACCAGGCAGTAGCTCCTTGTTCTCTTTGAACAATTGCTAGTTGGTCTATATGGCAGTTCCACATGGACACAATGAAATGCTCTGGAATTTCCATTCTTCAAAATATTACCCCATCGTTTGTTATGAGCCACACAGTCAAATGCCCTGTGTAGCCAACAAAATGCAAGCAGACATGGTTTCGGGTTCTCTGCTCTTAGCCAAGACCTCTCTGGCACCAGCAATGCACTCCTCATCCCACATCCTCTTCTGATCCCCTGCTGATGGCACAGTCTTCGATTGTGTGCCTCACAGGAGGGGCTCTACCAGGGTCTGGAGGACAGTTTTGTATTTCCTATCTGAACATGACAACTCAGGAGACTTCAGATATAGGCATCTGGAGAAAACACCATCGGTGCCTTCTACTTGTGTGTGACATCTACCCAAAGCCCTGCCCTGTGGGACTTAGCGCAGAAGAGAGGCAGATGTAGAAATCACCAGGTGGGAGGGTGGCGGAAGGGGTGAGATTGGGAGCCTAGGTCACGCGAGCCGATGGAGAAAGAACATCTTCCAGCCAAAGCCTGCACCACAGGGAAGACTAGCACAGGTAGTCATGAGTCAGTTCCGCTTCATCGTGACCCGCATGTTGCAGAGTCGACCTGCACTCCGGACGATTGTTAAGGCTGTCATCTTGGGAAGCAGATCACCAGACATTTCTTCCAAGATACCTCTGGGTGGCTTTGGACTTTCAGCCTTTAGGTTGAGCGCTGAGCCATTTGCATAACCCAGGGCTTCCCAAGAAGGCAAAAGTGATGCATGCTGGAGGAGTCTGTTCTGATTCGTGTCCGCTGCAAGAAGAGGGTTTCTTCATGCCTGAAACAGTTAGGGTGTGGTGGCAGTGCAGGCTCAAAGGAAGGGCCCCTCTCTTGTGTAAGGTGTGCGAGCAGATGGCCCCGCCTAGGGAGGTGACCGCTGCACACATCTTACAATTGCCCCAGTTCTCTCTCTCTGTATCACACCACCTAATTTCATTGAAGCTTTGAGCGCCCCAGCCTCTTCCACATGGCACCAGCTACTTATTGGAGAGCACTGTCTTTCCAACACTTGTAGTGCCTCTCCTCTCCTCTCCTCTCCTCTCCTGATCTCACTTTGCTCAAAGCTCAAAGGTCTGCAGTACACCCTTGTGCCTGGCCTACAAACAATGCAAGGCTGGCTGCCACTGTCCACCCTTACCTGTTCCAACAATCACTGCCTGCCTTCCTAAACTAGACACCTCCCTCCCACCTAGGCCATACTTCAGGGATGCGTCCAATGTTCATGTGAATAACCAAAGGGGTGGCGTCTCTCCTGCCATCTCTGGGGAGAGCTTGGAGCTGGTAATAATCTCCCCCATGGTCACATTCAGTTTTGCTTTCCTCGGGTTCTTACACCCCTCCACAGTTTTCTGCTAGACTTTAATGCACAGGGGAAAGAAGGTTTTTGAATCAGACAGAGGCTGGGTCCGGATCACTTCACGCTACCTGACCCCTGGGCCCCCGTTTCTTCATATACTAAATGAGGATCGCCATGCCAACCGCACAGGGGCGTGCAAGGCTGGAATTAGCTCTGGCTGTAGCACCGAGTCTGCACAAGGCAGGGGCGATTTAATACCAGTGTTGCTTTGCTTGTGGGTATTAGTACTACTATTATTTATTATTCAAGGAAACTGAGGGGTTGCTTGCTAACCCAGCCCTAACCCTGTCCCCCATATTAATCACCAAGCTGCCCAATCATAAGTGCAAATAATAGGATATTTGCTATCTAGTTTAGTGCATAGAATCATTTTTGGCCCTTGTAGAAATGGTCTTGATGTCTAACCCCTGTCCTTTGCGTCTGGGGACTAAAAGGGATGCTTTCTCAAGAGCATCCAGGTGAAAGCTCACTTATCTCAGCCCTGTCTAGGCCAGTCTCCCCCCACCCCCCCTCAGCCCCACCCTGACATCCTCGCTCACACTCTCAATGTTGATGAATTGGACGTTGTTATGGGTTGAATTGTGCCCCCTCACCCCTCACCCTGCCCCCAAAATAAGTGTTGTTCATCGTAACCGCTCTGCCTCTGAGCTTTGTGACACTTATAAGACAGGAGTAGTGCAGGTGTGTGGAGCCAATCTTACCAAATATGAAGAGAGCAGATTGCGACAAGCAAGCAAAGAGGGATGGGAGAAGAGAGATGCCCAGTCACCGGGCAACTGCCCGAGACAGAAGCTCAAAGGCACCTTCCTCCAGACAGACAGCTTTCCCCACGAGCTGGCACCCCGGTGTGATCCTCCAGCCCCCTCCACTGTGAGAACATAAATGTGTGTGTCAAAGCCATCCACTTGTGAATTTTCTGTTATAGCAGCAATAGATAACTGAGAAAGACATGACTGTGTTCCCAAATCCCCACCTCCCACTGCACCTTCACCTTGGCGTACCCACTGCCTCTGTGGGGCATGTTCCGGGCCACTGCATCTCACTGCCGATCTAAACCACAGCCCCACCTGACCACGTGGCAGGCTCCTGCAGGAGTGGGAGGAGGAATCCGCCAAGAAGCAACTGGCTTTCATCTTTGATTCCTGTGATCTGGCCAGCCTTCTCCAGATGGAGCAAAACAGCTTGGGTTAGGAAGTGCTCCTACTATACAGATGTGCGCATTCCCGAACAAACAATTCTCTCTGCCCTTGACCGTCAGAGGTAGGAGCTGCTTAGCTAGCACTATAGCATCATGCGTGCACCTTGGTCATTTTGTCACTGCCCTCCATTTGTCAGGCTGGGTTACTGTCATTCTTTGTCAGTTTAGAGGGGCACCCATGATCTCCGATGGCCTTCCCCGGCCCATTTTGAAAGCAAACGAACAATCTTTTCAAATGCCTGGGCTGGATGGATCCCCCTAGTTGCCCATTCTGTGGGGACTCTCCAGCCGAGGACGGCTCAAGCTGGAGAGGAGACAACCCTTGAGGTCTCTACACCCCACTGACAGCATCACCCGGGAGCCCTGGTGACACGTCACTCCAGGCAGCCCTCAGGAGGAAAGGGAACGTTTCCACTCCCGCAGAGTGACCCGCAGTTCTGCCCCCATCCTGTAGGGTTGCGATGACTGGGAATTGACCCCGGGCAGTAAGTTTGGGGGCTGGATCAGAACAGCAGAACCCAATAGGTTTAAGTCACAAGACATCTCCTCTCTGGGGACGTTCTCCCCACTCCCCTGATTTTTCGTGCCATCTGTGGGGAGGCTCATGTCCTGCACTGGCTGGTCTTGCTTCATCCAAATGTACTGAAAAGGGGCCATTTCTGAGTTCTTCCCAGCATTGGACCTGTCGGCTGCTGTAACACCGTTCTCTGCAGTGTGTTTCACTAGAAAAATAACTGACTTCTCCATCGCGCCGCTCTTAAACCACTCTGCACAACACGCTCCAGCGGAAGACATGCCCCGCCCCCTGCTGGGCAGCTCCAACAAGGGCCCAGGAACAAGAGCAAGGCCATTCTG